AAAAGGAATTCCTGAAGCTAACTTTATTGCGTACTTTTTTATCTTATCAGTATAGAACCTGCTGATGAAATATCAATACAGCTTGAAAATGATAAAGATAAGCCCAGCTGGCGTGGTTCAGTGGTTGAGTGTCGACCCATACACCAATAAATAGGTCACCAGTTTGATTCCCGGTCAGGGCACATGCCCAGGTTGTGGGCCAAATCCCCAGTGGTGGAATGCAGGAGGCGGCCAATCAACGTTCTCTCTCATCAGTGTTTCTCTCTCTCTCCCACTCTCTCTCTCCCTCTCTCTAACATCAATAAAGAAAAAAAAATTAAAAGAAAATGATAAAGACAAGTAACCTGTAATATGAAGTCCTGCACGGGAATCCCATCTTTCTCAATAGAAATAAAGTGCTTCAAAAAGCCAGAAACATGAAGTAACAGACAGTTTAGCCACTGAGACAACCACCACATTAAGTAAATATGAGAAAAATTTTAAGGAGCATGTTTTAGGACAATGTGACAATAAGAAAGTTAGAACATACTATCATAAAGCCTTTTTTTTTCACATTGAAAAAGTTTATAGAGATAAAGTTTTGCTAGTCCAATTCACATAATGAAAGGTCAACAGAAACTTTTAGGTCTCAACATAACACTTCCTGGTCTGGTTAGGTATGATTTATTCCATGGAGGTTTTGGTGGTAGTCCAAGGACTCAGAATGGTCCTTTGGGACCTGAGTTGAGATTTAAATACATGTACATGATGCTATTTTGCCTTTTTCATTTGGCATTTTCTCATAAACATTTTTACCATATCAACAATAAGTTATCAAGAAACATAAATTTTAATAGAAAAATATTCTAAAATATAAATATTGTATAGCTTTTTTTCATTTTTTATTGTGGTGATAGACACATAAAAATTTTACCACATTAAACACTTCAAGTTGTACACCTCAGTGGCATTAAGTGCATTAACAATATTGTACAGCTTCTTCATCATCCCAAACAGAAACTCAGTACACATTTGAGAAATAACTCCCCGTACTCTTCAAGCCCTGGTAATCCCTATTCCACTTCCTGGCTGTATACATTTACCTATTCTAGCTACTGTATGTAAGTGGCATCATACAGTATTTGTCCTTTTGTGTCTAGCTTATTTTATTTAGCATAATGTTTTCAAGGTTCAGCCATATTCTACCATCTAGCAGAATTTCCACTCCTTTTTAAGGATGAGTAATAATCCCTTGTGTGTATATATACATACACACACACATACATGGTGAGGCAAAAGTAGGTTTACAGTTGTGAATATGAGAAACAGTCTACTCTTATATTATTATTTATTAATTATTGTATTATTTTCCATACAAACAACTATTAACCTACATTTGCCATACCCGGTACACACACACACACACACACAAATGTTTTGGTTATCCATTCATCTGTTGATGGCTATTTGGGCTGTTTCCACTCTCTGGCCATTGTAAATAATGCCACTATGAACACTGATGTACAAGTATTTGCTTGAGTCCCTGCTTTCAATTCTTTTGACTAGGAAGTAGGATTACTGAATCATATGGTAATTCCATGTTCACTTTTTGAGAAACCGCCACACTGTTTTCCATGGTGGCTGTATCATTTTATGCTCCTACCAACAATGCACAGGGCTCCAATTCTTCCACATCCTCAACAACATTATTTCCCCATGTATGGATCACAGACATCCCGATGGGTATGAGGTGGTATCTCATTATGGTTTTAATATGCACCTCCCTAATGGCTGAGGATGATGAGCATCTTTCCATGTTGGGGATTGATAAACAGATCAGGAAAGTGGCCAAGCTGAAAATATAGGTAGTGGATTTATCCTCCCATCTCAAAAAGAGAAAGAAAAGAAGCCAGACAAAATACATGAAACAATGGTTCTCAAGACACTGGATATCAGGCGAGAAGAACAATAGTCCTTTAAAGTTAGGAAGCAAATTTTTCCAGCTTACTTTCTTGAGAGAATTTCCAAACCACACAGTAGAGGGGAGAAACTGAGGTGAAACCCAGTAGACTCTCAGAGTTGAAGAGACAGAGCTGAGAGTCCAGGGAGACAAAGTAGCTGGAGTGCATAAGACAGAGTACCACAAGAGCCGGAACTGCACAGAGAACCCCGACAATCCCCTGCAAGTATTCAGCAGAGTACTGATCAACATGTGCACGTAAAGAAACTACACCAGACCAGGGAAACAATTATCCAGAAGCTTTGGAATAGTGCCCAGTGTTCACACTGAGTCAGAAAACAGCACTTGTTCCTGCCAACCAGGCAAGAAAAACCCATAATTCATAGTATTACATATGGAAGGTCTTGCTTCAGCAGTGGGACATGAAACTGAGCACTTCCCCAGACCCATCTAACAAATCATAAAGCAACACCCAAAAGGCTAAAACTGTTCCCAAGTAACTGCACCCCAGAACAAAGCCCCAAAATATTTTTAAATAATTTTTTTTTAATCTAGCACCTAACAACATAAAATTCACAATGTCTGTATCCACTTAAAAATTTCCAGGCATGCAAAGAAGCAGAAAAATACAACCTATAATGAAGAAAAACATCAATCAATAGTAATAAACACAGCCCGGCCAGTGTGGCTCAGTGGTTGAGCATCAACCCATGCACCATGAGGTCACTGGTTCGATTCCCAGTCAGGGCACATGCCCAGGTTGTGGGCCCAATCCCCAGTGAGGGGCATGCAGGAGGCAGCCAATCGATGTTCTCTCTCATTGATGTTTTTATCTCTCTCTCCCTAAAATCAATAAAAAAAGAAACAAAAAAGAAATAGTAAAAAACACCAAAAAAACACAGATATACTCACAGGAAAAGCCATTAAAACAATTCTAGTCATACTTTATTTTTTCAAAACATAGAAGTATATGATCGTGTTAAGAACAGACATGGAAAACACAAAAAGATTCATATCAAATTTTTAAGAGATGACAAATACACTGAATAGTATTAACAGCATATTAAACACTACAGGAAATAAAAAAATAAAAAGAACTAGAAAATATAGAGATAGAAGCCATTCAAAATAAAACAGAGAGAGGGAAAAAATGATCACTAACACACCATCAAGCAGCCCAATACACTTATATGTTTCGAGTCCCCAAAGGAAAGAAAAAGGAGAGGTAAAAAAAAAAAAAAAAAAAAAGTGAATAAAAGTAAAATAACTTTCCAAATGTGACAAAAACTTTAAACCCATATGCAAAGAATAGAGTTAACATAGCAGACCTGAGACAATGTATCCTTAGAAAGCCCGGCTTGCACCCTGGCCAGTTTGGCTCATCCGTTAGAGCATCGGCCCATGGATCAGAGTCCCGGGTTCAGTTCCCTCTAAGGGCATGTACCTTGGTTGCAGTTTGTCCCTGGCCCCAGTTGGGGTCGTGTGGGTGGCAGCCAGTCATGTGTCTCTCTCACATTGATGTTTCTCTCTCTCTCTCTCCCTCCCACTCTATCTGAAAATAAATGCAAAAATGTCCTCGGGTGAGGATAAAAAAAAAAAAGAAAGCTCTGCTTGCAGTGTTGGTCCTTGCCTACCTCTGGAACATAGATTTCAGAAGACTAACCACCATTTCCCTAAATAAGAGAGGCTCCCTAAGCTTAACTGCAAACAATACGGCTTATGCTGAATACCTGTTTTTCTTCTTGAAATCTGAAATGTTGGTACATGCTCAGCAGAGTAACCTATATTACTAGTCCCCAGTAAAAACTCTGGGTACCGAGTCCCTAATACGCTCCTCTGGCAGACACTCTAAGGTGTTGTCAAAACTCACTGCTAGAGCAATCAAGCGTATTCTGTGTGACTTCACTGAGAAAGGACTCTTGGAAGATTGCTCATTTTGCTTTCTATCTTTTCACCTTAACAAATCATGCGTATGACTCTATGCTAAGTACTGAGTGTCTTGCTAGCGAATTACTGAACCTAGGGGTAAGACTGGTGGCCCCTGACACACCACAGATCTAAGAAGCTTGACAAACTCCAAGCAGAAAACTACACCTAGGCATATCACAATCAAACCACTTAAAGCAAGTGACAAACTCTTAAAGGATGAAGAGAATAGCTTCAGGTTTCCTGACCGCAACTCTGGAACTGGAAAACAATGAAGACTTCAAAATTCCAAAGACAATTTATTTCCAACCTAAACTTCTATACAAATTTACAATCACATATCAAAGGTGATAAATGCATCTTCTGACATTCCAAGTCTCAAAAAATTATCTTTCATGAATCTTTTCTTGAGAGCTCCTGGAAGATATGCTCAATCAAAATGAGAGGGAAAACCAAGAAAGAGGCACACATGGAATCGGGATTAAGTTGCTCCAAACAGGAGGGGTAAAGGGAATTCCAAGAAAGAGAAGGAAGGGAGAACTAAAGGTAACAATAGCCACAAAGCAGACAGGATGCTGACAAACTGGAGCAGCGAGGAGGTTGTGGGAAAAATGTCTCCAATAAAACAAAACTGATCAAATGCCTGCTATGTCTAAACATCTTAACAAGAGAGCTATGCAATAGTGAGAAATTAAAATTTTATTAATGATAAGTAAAACTAGGTAAACATAACCCCAAAATAATTAACTCTAACGAAAATAAAAAGTTGTGAAGCAAAAGTAATCATAATTAATATTTGTCTTGGTTACAAATATTATTTATTCACAAGTATGTAATGCTGAATAGTAATCTAACCAAACCATGATATATCTGTTCTGAAAAAAACAGAGGGACAGGAAAAGTTCAAGGGGCAGCTGGGGGTGGGAAGTGGATGAGAAGAGAACTTAGTATTTATCCATGTTTAGAAGTACATTACAAGAATGTTATTTAGAGATGAGGAGGTAAAGAGCGAAAGAATCCACCAAGAGTCAAAAGTTGCTGTCGTTAAGGAAGGAGTATAAAGCAAAGCACCAAAGGGCCATGATTAACAAATGCCATAAACAGAATAAGAAATTGTAAAACCATTCACTCTTACCTTAGGAAGCTCAGATACCCTCTCTTCCCTCGTCAAAGGACTGCTTGCACCAGAAGCACAGTCTGATATTTCCACAGCGCTCTCGCCATCCTCGAACTCATTACATTCGCTGGTGTCGTCCTTGTCACTGGCACTCTCCCAGTCCACAAACTGTAGTTCTTCTAGAAAATACAATTCTAAACTCAATTTTATAAATCTACTTTTTCTATTCTCAACAGTTAAAAAAGATCCACGCTGCTCAATAATTTAAATACGTATTAAAAGACAGTGAAAAGTATATTCCTACCCTTCTCTCTAGCCATCCTGTTTCTCCTAACTCTTATCACCACTCCAATTCTCAGGTATCTACTTTCATTAGTTGTTATTGTATCCTTCTAGAGTTTCTCTAGCATGTAAAAGCAAACATATATACTGTTAATTTTTTCCGTTTGAATACACTTTGATTTTTTTTTAAGGATGTGGATTTTCTACATCAGTATATAGGGAGCATCCCCATTCTTTTCTTTTTTTTTTTTTTTTTTATCCTCACCCGAGGACATTTTTCCATTTTTTGTTCAGGTAGAGTGGGAGGGAGAGAGAGGAACAGAGAGAGAGAGAAACATCGATGTGAAAGGAACACATCGAGTGGCTGCCACCCGCACAACCGACCAGGGCCGGGGACAAACTGCAACCGAAGTACGTGCCCTTAGCGGGAACCGAACCCGGGTCTCTCAGGACCGCAGGCCGACGCTCTAACCGCTGAACCAAACCGGCCAGGGCCCCATTCTTTTCTATAACAGCATTCCATTGCACAGATGATCCACAGTTTATTTTCTGTCTTCTATTAATAAAGACTTTGTCAAAGATTTTCACCCTAAATTTTTTAAAGATTTCTCTCATTGGTAAAGAAACAAAGTAAATTTAGTTTTCAGTTTATTTCATAAGCATTATTATGTAGATACTACTTTTGCAAAATTTTAGTTTGAAAGTTAAATTATGTTCATATATTAAATAACGAAATGTACCAACTCTAATTTGCTATGCTTAAAGAGATGAATAACTAAGGATGCATTATTCTCTGAGGTACGGCATATAAGGTAAACCTTTCCTACATGACAAAGCCCAAGCACTCCCTCAAAGTACTTCAGCTACCAAGAGGCCTAGTAGACATCTTGGCCCTATTTCAGAGGTCTCATAGCAACAGTCTCACTTCCACATAGAAGTACAAAATTAAAAATTACAAACTTACTAGCTTTAACATCTGAAGGAAATTCAGAATTAAAACAAAAAATGGAAATATTTAAGCTATAGTTAAAAGTATAAGATAAAGTAAACAAACCAAAAAAAAGTCTTCTTTAATTTGATACTGCTGTTCCAGAAGATGAGGTAAAAGTCCACTATGATAGTTACAAAAACCTGGAAGTCACATCAGTCTTTGAGAAGCAGATGAATGGTGGCAATTATCTCCTGCAACTAACATCACATTTACTCAGGAGCTAGACAGAGGAATGCATTTTCCAAGTTGCTGAACCTAATTTTATATGAACATACACACATTGTGGAATATTTATATAGTAGAAAGCTATAATTTTTATCATGGATAATATTGAGGAAGTAAGCCAGATGGCCGAAGGGAATATACAGTTTGATATGTGAAGTTTCTAGACAGGCAAAACAGTAGTACATATTGATAATTACAATCTTGGAGAAGAAGGTTTTCTCTACACACATTATTCAAGCTGCTGAGAAAAAATGCCCTCAGAGTTACTGCCATTGCTGCCAGTACGATACATTTTGGTAGCATCCGTTTCCTTTGGTCCTCATTCATTCAACAAAATCAGTGCCTACTAGGGCCTATCATGCTGTTCTAGACACTCACAGTAAAACACACACACACACACACACACAAGAGAATACACAACAGTGTTCCTAACTTAGAGAAGTCCACAGATGAACAACACTGATACTGCAATGTGATAAGCACTGTAAAATGATCTATCATAACCACGACTAACAAGACCTTTCATTTGGTCACAATAATTTTATGAAACAGGCAAGACGATTACTGTTAGACTAAAATTTGCATTTCATAGGTAAAGAAACTGAATGTCCAAAAAGCTAAGAAAGGTTCCCAAAGTTACCTAAAAGACAAATCAAGAGGGGAAAATTTTTAAAGAGGAAGATACTTTGACAATTTCACCTCAGGGTTCTTCTCTTCCCTCTCAATCGTAATTCTGGGCCTAAGGCCCAGAGGCTCTGATCCAATACCACTGGAAGGGGGCCTGGAAATATTGTTTTTAAAGCTCACCTAGTAATTATTATAAGAGGCCTGTCTAGTAACCTCCAGAACAGTGCTGAAGAACACAGCATTAAAGTTAGACATTCCTGGCTTGGAATATCACTTGACACATTTATTAATTATGTGACTCTGGACAAGTGACTTGACTTCTCTAAGTCCTAATTTTCTTCTGTAAAATAAGGATAAGTTGGTCACAGGACCCAGTAGATATCAAAGGAATAACACATAATATCCAGACTAGTGTCTGAGATAAAACAAGAACTTGATAAATGGCAATTAAAGGTCAAAAGGAAAGAGGAAGAAAGAGAGAAGAGAGGAGAGAAGGAAAAAAAGAGGAGAAAAGAAAAAGCTAAACAAGCAGTTGTACACATCAGTGGATATACTGCAAGCAATCATTTACTTGTTACCTAATGGTCACCTTATTTAAGAGAAGTCAGTAACTTGCTAACTCATTTTAAAGTAATTAGCTCAAAGCATCCTTCCATTCTTAAATAGTTTTAGAAACCACTGAGTATTAATACAAAAGATCTTTGAGCACAAGAGGACATATAGTTTTTTTTTAATACCAGTTTTATTGAGATGTAATTCACATACCTCACTATTCATCCATAAAAAGCCTATAGTTTTTAATAATGAAACTATGCTCTGAGATGTGTGAAGACAAACCAAGAACTGCATAACAATGAACGCCATTAATATGGTTAAAATAACAACACTGCGCTTATGTCTAACCTTAAAATACAACTTCAGCCCTGGCCGGTTTGGCTCAGCGGTTAGAGCGTCGGCCTGCGGTCGGGAGAGACCCGGGTTCGGTTCCCGCTAAGGGCATGTACCTCGGTTGCAGTTTGTCCCCGGCCCTAGTTGGTCGTGCGGGTGGCAGCCACTTGATGTGTCCCTTTCACGTCGATGTTTCTCTCTCTCTCTCTTCCTCTCTCTCCCTCCCACTCTATCTGTACAAAAAATGGAAAAATGTCCTCAGGTGAGGATGAAAAAAAAAAAAAATAAATAAATAAATAAATAAATAAATAAAATACAACTTCATCTGGCTATTACCATAATGTCAAATGGCAATTACCAAGATGTCACACAAAGTGGCCAAAAGAAAGTAAATAACCTTCCACAGGGGCTGTCTGTACAAACATAACCTTGACTAAGTAACTAAATAATGTGAACTCTCAAAGTAACAGTGAAAAAGCAGTCAAAGCTTATTTTACAAACACTAAAACTTTTATATACTCTTATATGAGCTATGTATTATAAAATATATAAAATATCACGTTTTCCATAATTTTAAGTCTTTGGTTCCCAACTTGGGGTGTAATTATACTATAAGGTCTGACAACATCTAGAGATATTTTTGGTTGTCATGACTGGGCCTGAGAATGCTGCTGTCACCTAATGGACAGAAACCAGAAATACTGCTAAACACCCCACAATGCACAGAAAAGCTCCCCTCCCAAATAAAAAATTATCTGGCTCCAAGTGGCAATATGCCAAGACTGAGAAACCCCATTTTAACTGTCAAAACCAGGATATAATATAAAATGACATAAAACAGAAACTCAGTAGTAGTTATACTTCTACCACACATTAGTTGTCATAGTATTTACCCAAAACAGGTTAGCAAGGAGGCAATATGGGTGTAGCATTAAGTAGTTAGCGTACTGGCTTTGTCATCAAAGAAATCCAAAGTGGAATCCAAACCAATTATCACATGTTCAAGCTTAAGTTGTTAACTGTAAAAGTACTACTGGTAATACCTATCACTTAGCGCTATTGAGAAATATTAAATGACAATATGTTTCTAAAGGGTTTAGCTTAGAGGTTGGGACTCAGTAAGATCAAACATAATCAATGCTAAGTATTACAAAAAGAATGTAACTTTTCCAATACTGAACCCTATGTAAACTGGATTTCTTACAAAATTATCAGTTTACCTTCACTGGCCCCATCTTCTGAACATAAAATATTCCTGTTACAAAACCTGTCTATTCTAGAACCATGCCCATTATCTCTCTCTGATTTAAAAAGTGTTTACCTTCATCTGACCGATCACTTCCACTGGAACTAGAAGTTATATCTGTAAGCGCACTGGTACTCTTAGATGTGGCAGTTTCTGTTAAAGAAAAATATATAAAAAACAATCACTTGATATAGTTATCATAATGAGATTTAATGCATGTTGCTTTGATGAAGTTACAAATACCCAAAATTCTGATGCTAGTGGGGACGATCTCTTACATCAGATCTTCCTGCCTAATGTTCTATGTGGAAACTGGGTAATATTCTTTAAATTAACACAATATTACAAGAAGAAGAAGTAGAACTGATTGAAATAAGTTACAAAACACAAGAAAAATGACTAGCACAAATAAAAATTCAAAAAAATAACCTTGAAATAATTACGGTCTATATAACTTCCTATAATATTTCATTAAACAACAACAAAAATAAAGAAATAAAGAAATGACAAACTACAAAAACAAAACTTATGTGCAACAGAAATGCTTCCGTGTGCCTCCTTTACCATACTAAGAGCCTGCTAGCAGCAGTGTGCTTAAACACTGAACAGCAATCTTTTTATTTAATTAGTGTGTTATTTTGAGATAATACTAGATTAACATACAGTTATAACAAATAGAGAAAACCCTGGCAATCTTTCCCTGGTTCCTTAATTGATAAAATTTTACAAAACTATACTACATCATTACAACCAGAATGTTGATACTAATACCATCAAGATATAGAAAAATTCTATCACCAGAAAGATACCTTATATTACATTTTTATTTTTATTTTGAGAGTACATTTGTTAAAATGGGGACAATGAAACAAAGAAAGGCAACAGGAGAGGGACCAGGCGGGGCTGCTGAGACTCCCTAGAAACGCTATGGGAAAGAAGTGAGCCAAGGCAGGGCTGCTGTCTGCTCACTGAAAAGTCAGAGAAATGGGAGCCTTGGGGACGGTTTCAAAGATTTAGCCCTGGATGAGCTGCTGCTGCCCATTGCTCCCTTGATTGCAAGTCTTGTGGGGTCCCTTAGAGGTTAGGAGATGCATGCCTGTGGGGGAATAAGAGGGGAAAGGAAAGACACAGATGAGCTCCTGGGAAGGAGAGTACACTGGGTCCTTTGTCTTGAGGTTTTAAAGGCTGGGAGTTCAGGGGACATCTTAGGGGAGAATCTCAACAGAATATTCATCAGCTTTATGCCTATGTGCCAAAATGAGATTTATTCCCTTAACTTCATCTGTCCTGGGTGTGGTTGGCACAAAGGGCACTAATTGGATTTCTGCTATCAATTTCCCTCAGTAGGGTGATTTAAGCTATTTATCCTCTGACTGGGAAGAAGTGTAAACCATTTACTCTTAAGTGTCCTTAGTTATAGAAGATAGGATTTTGCAATTTACTAGATGGCTATAAAGTACTTGGTCATTTAACTATCTTTCTCAGTTTCCCTATTCCACTAGATGTGGCTGCTAGCCTGTCTCCTTCGCTACTCAGACTTCCATCCCTGAAATCTTACAAGGGTAATGAGTGGGAATGGTCTATATTCAGCAACTGCTTCGGCTGACAAGGGCTGTGGTCCCTGCCCATAAAGGGTATGGAAGTCGCTCCCTGCATGATGTAAGGGGGACAAAGGAAAGGGATCTGAGACTGGAACAGAAAGGCTGTTAACTGATTCTTCCAAATTAGGGACAGGCTGGAATCCCTGAAGCATCACCGTCTTGATATGGAATTGTTGTATCATTCCAGAAGTGAAATTGGTAAATTGCTTCATATTTCATTGACTCAATCATGCAGTCCTGAAAATAAGTCAGTTCAGTTAAATTACTGAGTCTCATTTCAGGAAGTGGTGATGCAAATGGGCTCCCAAATAAGACCTGGAAAGACTGCCAAGAACTATTGAAGAAGCAAGGTGCCAGACCATTTCTCCAAAGGGCTTTTATCGGCTTCAAAGTCAACCTTAATTCCTTAAAGCTTTCTGGTGACATCCACAGTCTCTGCATGTCTCCTCTATCATGACATTCCACTCATTCTTGGTTGATAAAACCACAACTGGAAACTGGCTTTATGTGTCTGAGAAAGGTGATAAGGTGATCTAAGTCATGCCACCATATGTTACCAGTGATGTTGATGGCTAAACTATACCAGATGTTACCAGTGAAGTTGAAAGTTACAGAGGCAGTAGAAGTGAGCCACCTGGACTGTGTAGACTCAGGAAATACAGTCCCATCTGGGTTACCAAAGAATGTTACCGGAAAGGGGACTGTGCCCAGAGTCAGTCTGCATTGGGTTGGTCCATAGTGTGTGGGTTCATGGGATCTTGACTTTGTGCAGGGAAGATTTCACAATACAAGTTCAGGCGATTATGAGAGTATGTCTATTAAAACTGGGGGCAATGAAACAAGGGCTTAGGATAGAAGACACAAAAGGAGAGAGATTAAGAGGGGCTGCTTCAGCTCTCTAGAAACATGTGGGAAAGAAGTGAGCCCAGATGAGGCTGTTGTCAGCTCACTGGACAGGGCCCTTGGGGACAGAATCAGGGATTTAACCAGGGAAGAGCCACCTACATATTTTTTTTTATTTTTAAACTTAATGTTTCAATTACTGTATATATCCAATATAATTTTATATTAGTTCCAAGTGTGGAGAATAGTGGTTAGATAATTATATAATTTATGAAGCGATCCCCCGGATAATTCAAGTACCCATCTGGCACTCCACATAGCTACTAAAATATTACATACTCTATACTGTACTACATCCCCATGACTATTTTATAACTGCCAGTGTGTACTTCCTAATCACTTCACCTTTCCACCCAGGCCCCCATTTCCCTTCCCATGTGGCAAGCATCAGTTTGCCTCTGCATCTATGAATCTGTTTCTGTTTTGTTTTTTGCATTTATGTTTTTAATTCCACATACACATGAAGTCATATGGTATTTGTCTTCCTCTGTTGGACTTGTTTCACTTAACATAACACCCTCTAGCTCCATCCATGTCGTTGCAAATGGGAGGATTTCATGCTTTTTCATAGCCAAGTAATAGTACATTCTATACAAGTACCACACCTTCTTTATTCATTCATCTATTGCTGGGGACTTGGGTTGTGTCCATAGCATCACTATTATAAATAACACTGCACTAAACATAGGGGTACATATAGATATTCAAATTGGTGCTTTGGGTTTCTTCGGATATATACTCAAAAGTGCAATTGCTGGGTCATAAGGTAGTTCACCTTTAATTTTTTCAGGAACTTCCATACTCTTTTCCAAAATGGTAGCACCAATTTGCATTCTCATGAACAGTGCACAAGGGTTTTCTTTTCTCCACATCCTCACCAACACTTGCTGTTTGTTTATTTATTGATGATAGCCATTCTGACAGGTGTAAGGTAATATCTCATTATAATTTTAATTTGCATTTCTCTAAGACTAGAGACACAGCATCTTTTTCTATGTCTACTGGGCATCTATTTGTCTTCTTTGAAGAAGTGTCTAGGCAGGTATTTGGCCCATATTTTAATTGGCTTTTTTATTTTGGTGTTACCTGATTTTTTTATAAATCTTGGATATTAACCCCTTGTCAGAAGATTTCAATCTTCTTTATTTTATAGAGACTTGTTTTGTAGCCTAACGTGTGGTCTATCCTGGAAAATGTTCCATGTGCACTTAAAAAGAATGTATATTCTGCCCTGGCCAGTTTGGCTCAGCTGTTAAGAGCATCGGCCTGCAGTCCAGAGAGACCCAGGTTCGGTTCCCACTAAGGGCATGTACTTTGGTTGCGGTTTGTCCCCGGCCCTGGTTGGGTCATGTGGGTCGTGCGGGTAGCAGCCACGCAATGTGTCCCTTTCACATCGATGTTTCTCTCTCTCTCTCTCTCTCTCTCTCTCTCTCTCTCTCTCTCTCTTCCCCTCTCTCCCTCCTGCTCTATCTGAATAAAAAATGGAAAAATGTCCTCGGGTGAGGATAAAAAAAAAAGAATGTAGCCCTGGCCAGTTTGGCTCAGCAGTTAGAGCATCGGCCTGTGGTCCAGAGAGACCCATGTTCAGTTCCTGCTAAGGGTGCGTGCCTCGGTTGCAGTTTGTCCCCGGCCCTGGTTGGCTGTGCGGGTGGCAGCCACTCGATGTGTCCCTTTCACATTGATGTTTTTCTCTCTCTCTCTCTCTCTTCCTCTCTCTCCCTCCCATTCTATTTGAACAAAAAATGGAGAAATGTCCTCGGGTGAGGATTAAAAAAAGAATGTATATTCTGCTGTCTTGGGGTACAATGCTCCAAAAATGTCAGTTAGATCCATCTGGTCTTTGTGTTCTTCAAGGCCACCGATTCCTGGTTGATTTTCTGCCTGGAAAATCTATCCATTGATGTCAGTGGAGTATTACTGTCCCCTACTATGACTGTATTACTGTGGTCGCTCCCTTTATGTCCATCAGTATTGGCTTTAAATATTTAGGTGTTCCTTTGTTGGATGTATAAATGTTTACAAGAGTTATATTCTCTTGCTGCATGGACCCCTTTATCATTATGTACTGTCCATCATTTTTTCTCTTAATCTTTACCTGAGGATATTTTTTTCATTTATCTTCAGATAGAGGGGGAGGGAAAAGGAGAGAGGGAGAGAGAGAAAGAGAGTGAGAGACATTGACTGGCTGCCTCCCAACAAGAGAGAGGGAGGGAGGGAGGGAAAGGAAGAAGGAGGGAGAAAGGGAGAAAGGGAGAGAGAGAGAGAGAAAGAGAGCGTGTGACCAACTGGGTGCCTCCCACAGGACCCCAACTAGGACCGAGGGCCAAAACGTAACCAAGGTACGTGTCCTTGACCAGAATCAAACCTGAGACTTTTTGGTCCAAGGTCCGACACTAACTGCTGAGCCAAACGAGCCAGGACTATGTACTGTCCTTCTTTGTCTCTTATTGCGGCCTTCATTTTTATGTTTTTTATGTTCTTTTTTTTGATAATGTATTTCTACCCTAGCTTCTTTTTTTCATTACCATTTGCATGAAATGCCATTTACCATCACTTTATTTTCAGTCTGTGTGTCTTTCAATCTGAAGTGGGTCTTGTTTTCTCTCTCTCTTTTTTTTAAATGGACATTTTTCCATTTTTTGTTCAGAT